TCTTTACAATATTGTACACAAATGATTACACATACATGTGGTCCAAATTTTACTACGCTGGAAATCAAAACTTTTATTTTCTTCAGTGTAAGATGAGATTATCTGATTTTTGATGTAAATAAATATTCAGCTTCTGATCCAAGATATAATATAATGTTCAAAGATTTATGATTGCTTACAGCATTCTGAGGATGTTTTGTTTATAAAAATAGTAAACAATTTCATGGATAAAAGGCAATGACATGTGTAGTATATTAGGCTGATATTGGGGTGCCTGCTGCCCCTTATGTCTGAGTTTTGGGACTCTCCCTGACTTGGGATGTTTGTGGTCAGGTTTCCATGGGAACATGCTGATGTACAGCTGCCTTGTGGTCCATCCTCACTTCCTTAATTATATCTCTGTCAAGTCTGTCATTATTATCCTGATCACAACTCTGACATTTGATCACTTACAAGCAGCTGATTGGATCTTAGAAAGTCATCTTAGTGAATAGTCATCTGAAATGTTTGACAGATCTTAGTCATCACAAAGCTTCAAAGTACATTGTGTACTTGTGAGGAGACTTTATGGTCCAATGTTCAGTTTTAGACCAAACTGGTCACTTAATTGAGCCGACTGGTGAAGCTACATTACAATTCGCAAACATCTAGGCGTTAAACAGTTTCTCAGAAATGTTACCATGATTTATTATAAAGAAACCTTGATCTTATTATGTACATTGATTGTATGGGAAATGTTACTGGATAAGAGGAGTTTTAACAGCCTTGTGTTATGTCCATTACATTGGTTTGAGTAAGCAGCATTGATTATATGACCAGAAAAGCCATCAGTCCTAACAAAAAAAACCTTTGGGTTAAATGAAAACAATAGACAATAAAATTGAAAAGTCTGGAATGGTTTAAAGAAGAAAATATTAATGATTATAAGAAAATATTCAAGAAAAATTTCTTAAATGGATCAATCACATAGAATTTGTTTGAATTTTCTTGTGTCAGGCAACTTTTCATGATGTTTTAGGTTTGTATTACAGTATAGAGATCTGTATTCATGAAGTCTGGACAGTCGGGTCAAACAATACCAAACAATCATCTCCATCTGACAAACCATGTTAGCAGCCTGCAGTTAAGGTTCCCCTCTGCTTGCCTGGGTAAATGACATGGCCACATAACACCACTATTGTGTGTAGTTTTTATCCATGGCCTGCCAAAGCCCTCAGTGGAAATATGAATGGCAAGACAATATGGGTACTCTGTGTATGTGTTGCCTCAGACAGAGTACTTTACACAACCCTCTCATCTAAAGGTTGTCTGGCCCTGCCATCTGACATGGTAGAACTGTTCACTGGTAAAGTGGAAAAAACACTGGCTCATCAGATGGAAACACAAGGAAACATCAACCACATCAGCTTTCCACAACCCTTTGTTTCCCATTAGAACAGATCTATTTGAAATTAATTACAAAATTACATGATTCACAAAAGTAAAAACTAAAGAATTTCTCCAAGTACAGAGCAGGAAATTGGTGAAGTATGACAAAATAAATACCAGCTTATGTTTGGATAGCTCTGGGTTTGTTTTAGCATCAGAGTGAGTTCGGCTTTAAACAAAGTATAGGAGATAGGCACCATATGTCAGACTGGTGTTGTTCAGTTCTACTAGCACAATATTGGTCAGCACTGTTAATGTTGGTCAGTGCCTTCAATGGCAGTGTTTTAGGAACATCTGGACATTGCAGCAAGATAAAAACATTCTGAAAATTGTTCATGACTGGTTTACATTGTGTAAACTGTTTTCACAATATTTTTCCTGGCAGTTTCAGGTCACAGATATATGTAGAAGTTTATGTGTGTCTTGAGTCACAATGATTGTAATTCACGCAGAATTTGTGCACTATCAACACATTGGTCATATTTATAGCTATAAAACACTATCAACACATTGGTCATATTAACTATAAAACACTATCAACACATTGGTCATATTCATTGTAAGAAACCAATGATTCCTATTCTACCAAATACTGAATTTGTTCTAGAGTGTTTGAAATGAGATAAATTATTTCAATCTAAATGTGGGAAATGATGCCTAACTGGCTTGTTGGTTCGTGCCCTTACAATATTTCAGATGTAAGTGTGGATGCCTGAGAGTTAGAGCTATCCCTGACATATTGTGTGTGGTATATATTGAGATGTAAGTGTGGATGCCTGAGAGGTAGAGCTATCCCTGACATATTGTGTGTGGTATATATTGAGAGGATTTAGTTAAAGCACATGTAACACCAGGTAGGGCAGTCTGCCATAATGTTACCCAGGGGACCTGTATCATGTGATGTGCCAGATAGTCCTGACAGGTCACATGACCTCCTCAAAGCTCCCTCATTCTCAGCTAATTAGCACTGATGATACTTATGTAAACATGATGTAGAGATGCCTCACAATGTTTAGATATTTCTTGGAAATTTGAATTTGACACATTGGATAAATATTACAGCCAAACTGACTATTGAAGACCAAAGAGTGTCATATTAAGTTAATTAATTTAATAATAATGGACTGGAGAACTAGGCCAATTTGTCTAGCCAATAGATTTGTGATGTTGTTGTATTTGTGTTGATGGGGATATCATATAATGTAGCAAAACTGGTCTGGTCCATCTCAGCTGACCAGGTAGATTAGGTGGTCAAAGCACACGGGTGAAGTTGGGAGGTCCTTGGTTAGAATCCTGGTCTGATGGTTGCATTTGATGCTCCCTGGTACATTTTTGATGCCCAACTAAACCAGAACTGACCAATATATTTCCTCTGCGCAAACGTACAGAGCCACCACCTCATTGTTATTGTAGGAAATCTAGGGACGACATATCTCATGGTAAATATGGCAAACATTGTCTGTTCATACTGAAGTAGCGAATGTACTCAAACTGTATATTTATATTCTCAGGATTTGAGTGACCAACTGAAACCTTTCTCTGATTTCTCTGTTTTGTGTGTTTGGTTCATAAAATAATATCCATATGAAATGTGATAGATTTTAAATGTAAATGTAAAAAATGCATAAAGATTGTCATAAAAATCTGCAAGTATAATTAATTATGATGTTTAGAGTGATTTAGACTGATACAGAGCATTCTTGCCTTACTACAGAAACAGTATGCTCCCTGAACCAGCCATAAGGAAAACTCATCTGTTAGTTGATGGCTCCTTACTGTTGGTATACATAATTCAAACCAGAGAAGATAGAACATTTTGAAAACACAACATGTAAATTCAGTCCATTCTGCATATTGATAACATAATTCTTATTTTGGTGCAGTTGCCTGGCAACAGAAGGGATTTCCTGGGGCAAATAAAAGAGATGCTATTTGAGTTTATTTTGACTGGATTTGACCAGGTTGTTAGGGAAGGTTTTGACTCAGACCAGGTTATTAGGAAAGTTTTTGACTCAAACCAGCTGGTTGTTAGGATAGGTTTTGACTCAATCCAGCTGGTTGTTAGGGAAGGTTTTGACTCAAACCAGCTGGTTGTTAGGGAAGGTTTTTGGCTCAGACAAGGTTATTAGGGAAGTTTTTGACTCAAACCAGGTTGTTAGGGAAGGTTTTGACTCTGACCCTGTTGCTAGGGAAGGTTTTGACTCTGACCAGTTTGTTAGGGAAGATTTTGACTTAGACCAGGTTGCTAGGGAAGGTTTTGACTCTGACCAGGTTGTTAGGGAAGGTTTTGACTCTGACCAGGTTGCTAGGAAAGGTTTTTACTCTGACCAGGTTGCTAGGGAAGGTTTTGACTCTGACCAGGTTGTTAGGGAAGGTTTTGACATAGACCAGGTTGCTAGGGAAGGTTTTGACTCTGACTATGTTGTTAGGGAAGGTTTTGAGTCTGACCAGGTTGTTAGGGAAAGTTTTGTTATTCAATGTTAAGGACAAAATTCTCAATATCTTTGAATCACTGTTGCTATAGAACAAAAGGCAGCTTTGTTTTGTTTTAGACTTTTATAGGTGTACACAGCATAAATATTGCGTTGTTAATAACTGTATCGCTGTACTGACCCTAAAACAGAACTTTTATAGATCAGGGAAGAAGATCATCTATACAGGAGAGGGTTGTTGTGGTAGGTTAGAGGAATGTTTCAGTGGATGAGGTAAATTTAGATGGCTGATTTTTAACATGTTTTGGTGTTTGGGTAGAGTGTTCAGTCCAAGTGCTTTGAAGCAGTGTATAGCGGGGAGAGCTTGGGTGACGGTGATCTTGGTGATAATTCTCAGCTGGCACGCTGTTAAAACATGTCTTTTTATCATCTTTAACCTTCCCTCTGGGTTCAGAGAAAGTGCCAATCCCCATTGGAGTAAATAAACTTTCTATCATTTCTGGTCTTGTCTTATTTAGTGATTGATTTATGCTCGAGTGTTTATCTCTGAAGGCTGTTTTCGTGATAAAAATGGCCTTCTGATGTATTTTAAAGCAGTTTTGGAAGTTCCTGGTTTTGGAAGAAAATTCTGGTAAAGGTGACTACCAAGTTAGATATTTGTAATTTACTAATGTTCACAAGAGATAAGCTATATCATAATTCTATCCAGTCACATCTCAACTTCCAACACGATCACATATTAGTCATGTTTTCTAGAATAGAACACGATACGAAAATATAACACAAGAATGTAAGATAACATTAGGTAAATTAGAGTTCCCTTCTATAACAGAAGGTCGTAGTAGCATATGTGTGTGGTTTTATCTTTGGAAGGCAGAGCTAAGAACTAAAGTACAATATATTATGGTTAAGGAGAGATAGATACATAGGCCTATGTTGGTGAAGACTTTGTACTTAGACACTGTTTGACACAGGGACTGGTGTAAGGACTTTAGTACATAGACACTGTTTATTATAAGTCACAGGGACAGGGGTAATTAAGGAATAAAGTTGGTAGAACTTGCTGTAAAATATTGTGAATCTGTGAATATGAATCTGTGACACAGTGTTTGATATTTAGGATATGTTTGTGTGTTACAGACTCCAGCAGTGGTTCAGGCTGGGCCCCCCTATATGGGGGAGGGACACACCTAGACCAGGAGGCCATCCAGTACATACACAAGTTTTACTGTAAGGACTGCCGAATGGAGGAGGAGAAGGCCAAGGCAGCCGCAGCAGCCGCTGGGGGAGACAGTCCCCAGGGGGGCGGGGACACCTCTGACACACCCTCTGAACAGCCTATAAGTCCGCAGGCCATGCTAGAAGAGTTGTCAATACAACATAGCATGGACAAAAACAAAGAGTGTGAGTTGGCTTGACCAGCATGTTGTTTTAAAAGTTGATAACTCATGGTGGTGGAAGCAAGATGACGGATTCCTTTTGGTTAGAATAAACACATATCTTGTATAACAGTCTGACTTTAAGTATAATCCAGTTTGATATGCATTACATCCAATAGATGTCGCTGTCGTTTGCTTCAAAACCTGTCAAAAGATGAAGCTATCCTTTTGTCACTATTTGGGACAAAGATTTAAGTTCAAGGTTAAATTAACGTAAACAAATCATTACTGTAATAGTCTAAACAAGTTCTATATGCATTTAAATATTAGTTTGGTCACTTACTTGGAGATGATCATAAAGTTGAGTTACTTTACAGGGAAAAGTTCTAATTTTGAGGTCAAAATGTTTGGAAGAATACAAGATTCAACCAACTTACTCATTGGTGATACTATTCTTGTCTATCGGTCAGGAGTTATTTGACAAAATTTGCATTTGTTCCCTTACAGCCCTGAAGCGCAAGCTGATGATGAGGCGGTCCGTATCAGAGCTGGTGGATCAGGGCATTTATCCTCGTAAGTACTTACCCCTCCCTAACTGTGTGATGTCACCAGGGAGGGGCGGCTAGATGACTTATCTTCTTTACATATCCTCCCTGAGAAAATCTCCCATATCCAAAATTTTAATCACTTAATAGGAAAGATCCTTTATAAGTCATTTCTGTACAGTTTATAAACGATACACATAAAAGGGAAGTAAAATGCAGTATTCCTTAGTCATTATGAAATGTAGTTGGCCTACTGTTCTGTAACCCTGCTGGTTAACTCTTTAAGCTAAACAATAGGTTATGCTGAAGTTGTTTGGTGATTGTATAATGTTGTTGATTTGTGCTTGGTATGTGTCGTTTGGAATATGTTCTCCAGATTGTGAAGGTTCATACTCTATTCCTATGTTTTTGCCAGCTCTGAAAACACCACCTGCGTTTGCGGAGCAGAGAAAGCATCTAGAGCGGGCTAAGGTAAGTATCTTAAGCCATTACCCGCCTACATTATTGCAGTATTACATAGCTTCTGTACGATCCCATCCTTGTCGTCAAAATGCTTAAAGGTTATCTTGTCTGATGTTACTGGTGTTGATGTTGGCATAGTTTCCAAGAGTTGTGAGGATCCTAAATGGGATATTGACACTGAGATTGTCTAATGGTGGTAAAGTAGATACGGCTGTCAAAATAGCACTTTACCTTCAGTTCAACAAAGGTTAACTCTAGAGAGCTTTCCAAAATTTAAAAGAATAACAAAAATGTATCTTAAAGATAGTTTATTGGTTGTATTGTAGATTATACCAGTGCATGCTTAACACACTGAAAAGAAAACACCATCTCTTTGCAGGGATGGTTGTTTGGGTTTTCCACTTTTCTTTTCTAATACTTATCCTAATGGACATTTTGCAACTTGATGCAAATGAATAATATCACTTCTCTCCATTTCAAAAATCAATTATCCAAAATCTGCTTAGAATATACTGAGGGAAGATGTGAAACACAACCACTTGTCACATTAGGGATCCCATGCAGACTTTTGAAGATGTCAAAAGTGGGGAGCACCATAGTGAAGTTCAGTGAGTGTAATCTGTGACATATGTGGCAAATAGTTGGTACAACACTACATGTGGCTGGTTATCATTTGTACTCCTTACGACTTAATACAGGGCTCCTTTCAAGTAAGTGCGACAGAGCTCGGCGATTACATCTTGACTGCGTCTGCACCCAAAGCACTGTAATAAATATTATCTGTACTGCATTGGATTGTTGCTGCTGGAGGTTGTAGGTTTTAATATAAACAAATATAAAGCTTGGTTGCTTTATATAATTCGAATTATATCCAAACTGTACAATTCTTCATAGTTTGTCCCTGTCATCTGTTATCTATTTCTTTAAAAACAACTTCAAGAGTTCAGTAGGATTATATGAATTGTACCTACATTGTAGCTAGCGTTAAGCTTTGAGCGTAAAATATTCTCAGTTTGGTAGCTGTACATTTGAGAGTTGGACCAGACCGCTGTGATGGTGTGGCAGTAAAGACTGGGGTGTACATGGCACCAAGATTTATCCAGCTGATGTTTATACATTGTGTGGGCCAGCGCTCTACCATTATAGCAGATGCAGCGTTATGTCAGAACTAGGCACATACAGCACTCCACTGCACGCGCAACACACATTCCCGTCTTATTTATTATGCAATAAACCAATGATAGAACAATTTGTTGGCTGTGAACAAAAAAATGGCATATAAAAAGTTATTTAGGTCATTATTCAACAATACCTAATTGTTGATTAATTTAAATTCTAACCAATGTATTCAGAATGTAGGGTGTTGTCAAGGCCTGGACTTGGCAGCGTGCCAGGTGGTGGGATTATCCTCAACAGTTTCATTTTGATGTATCTTTGAGGTGCTTATAGGTTGCCAACTTAGACTTGAATGTTGAGGTTGGTTGTAGTGATGGGATTGCCAGATGTTCCTCTGAAAGAGTTGTGGCTTATATAAGTAGTTACCTACGGTTCAGCTGTATCAGCCATTAGCCTGCACTGGTTATGTACATCAGCAGACTGGAGTGGTGCTGGGTTGATGACAAAGATCTGGTGACTTGATGACCTTTTTGACTACCATGCTTGACCTTGATCAGAATGTCTCTACAAAGATTACGCCTGCCTTGTTCTTTCTGTGGATCAGATACATGTGTTATTGACATGAAACATTTTGAGAACAAATTGTCACAATTTTGATATGGATGAAATGAAAATGCTGGACACTGTATTCAAGTTTTGTGATATAGGCATTGACCTACATATTATATAGAAACTTTAAAGTTAACGAAAGTAAAATGGAAGAAAAAAAAATAAAAAAATAAACCATAGTGTCATCACACATGTACACTATCACAACTGTCACACTGGTAAAGGGAATCCTTAAACAAAAGACAACCCTTACAAAAATGGATGTGACCATTCTCTGCACCACATGTGGTGCTATTTAGGTCGTGAATCAAAGTATGATTTTATGTTGTACAACCTTGATCTAGGTAGAGCGACCTTGTGCTGGTTAAATCACCTGGACCTGTTAGGAACCTTGCCTACCAAACAAACTCTATTTTACATTAACTGTTGCTGACAAATCAACTTGACCTATATACTGTTTATGTTACACATTCCTAGCTAACATTGTCAGTTGTTTACACTACCTCACATGTGAATGTTGCTACCCACCAAATTACATAACAAGTGGCTCTACTAGACAGGCTGCTGTTTGTCATCAGGTCTACACCGCCTCTTCCTATACATGTATCTCTGCTTACCTTGCCTAGCCCCCCCCCCCCCCCTATCGATCTTCTAATTATATAACTTAGCCTAGCCCCTTCCTGTATCTCTGCTTACCTTGCCTAGCCCCCTTCCTGTATCTCTGCTTACCACGCCTAGCCCCCTTCCTGTAGCTCTGTTAGCCTAGTCTAGTCCTTTAGTTCCTATAGATCCTCTAACTAAGCCTAGCTTCTTCCTATAGCTCTGCTTACCTCGCCTAGTACTTTCCTATAGATCCTCTAATTATATAACTTAGCCTAGCCCCTTCCTGTAGCTCTGTTAGCCTAGTCCCTTCCTGTAGCTCTGTTAGCCTAGTCCCTTCCTATAGATCCTCTAACTTAGCCTAGCCCCTTCCTGTAGATCCTCTAACTTAGCCTAGCCCCTTCCTGTAGATCCTCTAACTTAGCCTAGCCCCTTCCTGTAGATCCTCTAACTTAGCCTAGCCCCTTCCTGTAGATCCTCTAACTTAGCCTAGCCCCTTCCTGTAGATCCTCTAACTTAGCCTAGCCCCTTCCTGTAGATCCTCTAACTTAGCCTAGCCCCTTCCTGTAGATCCTCTAACTTAGCCTAGCCCCTTCCTGTAGATCCTCTAACTTAGCCTAGCCCCTTCCTGTAGATCCTCTAACTTAGCCTAGCCCCTTCCTGTAGATCCTCTAACTTAGCCTAGCCCCTTCCTGTAGATCCTCTAACTTAGCCTAGCCCCTTCCTGTAGCTCCGTTAGCCTAGTTCCTTCCTATAGATCCTCTAACTTAGCCTAGTCCCTTCCCATAGATCCTCTAACTTAGCCTAGCCCCTTCCTGTAGATCCTCTAACTTAACCTAGCCTCTTCCTGTAGCTCTGTTAGCCTAGTCCCTTCCTATAGATCCTCTAACTTAACCTAGCCCCTTCCTGTAGCTCTGTTAGCCTAGCCCTTTCCTATAGATCCTCTAACTTAGCCTAGCCTCTTCCTGTAGCTCTGTTAGCCTAGTCCCTTCCTATAGATCCTCTAACTGAACCTAACCCCTTCCTGTAGCTCTGTTAGCCTAGCCCCTTCCTATAGATCCTCTAACTTAACCTAGCCTCTTCCTGTAGCTCTGTTAGCCTAGTCCCTTCCTATAGATCCTCTAACTTAACCTAGCCCCTTCCTGTAGCTCTGTTAGCCTAGTCCCTTCCTATAGATCCTCTAACTTAGCCTAACCCATTCCTATATCTCTGCTAGCCTTACCTAGCCTCACTTAGCCCTTTCCTATAGCCCACCTAGTCTCCTATAGTTCTAGTAGCCTCCCCAAGCCTGCTATGCATAGCCTCCTGTTGCTCTGCTATTCTCACCTTTCCTCTACCCCCACCACCATCCCCCCAACCCGCTTCCTATAGCTCTGTTAGCCTTACCTAGTCTACAGCATTGTCATTTAGAAGTGTGTTACCTTGATAACACTGATGGAATATTATAGTTATTAGTTTTATACTTTTATTGAAGTTCCATGTTTGTCCATACTAATACAATACCTCCAAGTGTTATTGGTGTTCAATGTAAAGTAACCCAGCTGGTTCACAATCAGTCACTCCAACCCTCCACACAACAACAATTAATATCTGATTGCTTACATAACTTGGAGTAGGCATTGATAGATATGTACAACAACACTCGAGCTCGCGACTGACATCAAAGATACACCCGGCCACCAACTCATCTGCGTATTATCTACACAAGTGCTCGTCTTTGTGCCGTCTTACCACTCGATTTTCTGGAAGTTCAATTTACTTTTTATTCTATTTTTACAGATGTGTCTATACTTATCAATTAATGGCTATACACACATTCTTTGATCAACAGAGCTATGAAACATCAATTATTTTTGAGAACCTTTCTTCTCAAGAATGACAAAAGCCTTTCTAGAATCAGTGTTTGAGATTAGGCTTGTAGTCATTCCTACTGGATGATTCCTCACGAGTTGTGGTATGTTCCACCCTATAGAACAGTGGGCATTTCTTAACAAGGGCTAAATATAAAGGCATGTTGTTATTACTAATAAGCTTGGCAGGAACCAATGTTCTAGTGATGTAGCATATTTTCAATATTTGAAATAAACAGGTACTTCATAAAGAGCATTTTACAAAAACATTTGATTAAGCTGTAACTGGTAACTGCAGGATGCTGAATGGATCTTCTACAGTCTTACAATGATTTAATTATCCTTTAATTATCTTCATGTTTAGAATGCAGATGTTGAGAGAAACTTTAAAACAAACTACTCCTTGGTTTGCTTTTTGAGTCATATTTCTTCTTTATAATTGTCTATCTGTTGAGCAATATTAGACCTAAATATGACAATAATGTTATTTAGAGTACTGAAAGTAAAATAACCATTTATTAGATATTTTGTAATATGTTGAAGGTCAGACATATTGACTAAGGACGTTTACAGTCTGTGGGACAGCCTAGCCAGATTACAGAAGTTTTGTTGATTTAGTTCTGGGTTATCCTAAATTATCCTTCAATTAAATAGGGAATTGTCAATTCTTAGAGGTCTGTTGTAGGCCAAATGTTCTACTGAAATGCCAGGACAGATGAGTGACATACTAATGCAATGTTAGTTGATATTTCTCTCCCTCCGTCTAACATGTGGTAGTATACAGTGAGACAATATGTATACAGGAACCCTCCCCGCGCTCTAGTCTTGCGCACA